CCAGGACTTGGTCCTAATTATCAAGACCGGGCTTTGTCCGAAACAAAGTAAGTCTCGGATCGAGTCCCAGATTCATTCGTCTGACTCAGTGTTGACCCTGTTCATTACTGAATGAGTTAAAACTTTCCTGAATTGAGCCATTGCACGCCCCGTGGACCACATTACCCTTACACAGATGATGGGTCCCTGGGCAAACCAAACATATCCTTGTTTTTTGGTAAAAATATCAATCATTTTGTAATATATATAATATATATATATATATATATATATATATATATATATATATATATATATATATATATATATATATAGGGTAGTGGCACTGGTTTTTCCGTCCATTTTGGGACAAAAAAAAAAAAAAAAAACCTGTTAGCGACTTTGTATACAACCTGACAGGATTATAGTTTTTATACATTAAAGTTCAACCATTGTACCGGTAGTGCCTACAATGTCATACTCTTATATCTAATAGTTTAAGAGTACTGTGAATCCCCCCTCCCCCAAAAAAAAAAATGTGATGTTCAAGTAATTTCTTATGGATTCTTATTACTGGATCTCCACTAATAATGAGGATATTCCTTTTTAGATTGTTGAATATGAAAGAGATCTTTAGGAATAAATAGATGGTGTACAAAATGACAAAAAAGAAAAGAAAAGAAAAACCCAACAGGTAGACAATTAATTGGTTCCAGAACTGACCCTGGGACTAGTACCCGTCCACTTTTGGCGACCACTTCCAAAATTGAATAGGCCTACATAAATGAGTAGTGGAGCCCGTGATGTACATGGCTCTATACTGGAAATTTCCTATCTCAATTGGTCAATCAGCAGAAGAGGCTGCTGTTTCTCGTCTTCTTGATAGCATATTTGAACAAAGTGCTCATGTCTCCACTAGCAAACATGAACAGCTACTAGGAATTTATGTTCCAGTACACTCTATAGCAGGTCTTTATGAATATCCTTATGTTATGTATTAAATTTTCTTGAGTTCAAGCATATGAATAAATTAGCACCAGTATAGTCTAATGATTCCTCTTTTATATACTTTTTTTTAACAAGTGTGTGTGTAATGCTGATTTGATTAGTCACAAATAAGCTAATTGTGAAAGAATATAAAGCAGCAGTCAAGATTATAAAAACTTTTATCAACATTTCCCATGTATATGTATGTATGTATGTATGTAAATGTATATATATATATATATATATATATTATATATAATATATATATATAATATATTAATATATATATATTCCCCCAGTGGAAAGCCCGAGTGCCGACCGCCCATGGCTCGCCGGCGCCTCACCTGGATGACAGCGTTGCCCGCGGTGCCGATGGCCACGACGCCCGTGCCCAGCGCCTGGCCGGCCGCGACGCCCACCGCGCCCGCCACCTCCGTCGCCGTCGTCGCCACGTCCGCCGCCAGCTTCCCGAGGCCCGCCTTGATCCGCTGTCCGGCGGCGCTGATCTGCTCGGGGTTCGGTAGATTCTCCCTCACGGCCGCCTGCAGGATGCTCAAGCGCTGGCCCTGGCGAGGCCTCTTACTTCGTCCTCGTGTGGCGGTGCCCTTGGTCCCCGGCGCGTCCTTGCTTGTCCGCTGCTCACCTGGAGGAGTAGAAGGGCCTCTTCCCTTGTCGAGTCCTCCCCGGGTCACGGGATGTCTCGGGGACCTGGTCGCGGGCGCTGCGGATCCTGAGGACACGCCCTGGACATCCCGAGTTACCCTCCCACCACCCTCGCTCTCATCACCAATGCCCCGAGGACCTATGACTTCACCTGACGAGAAGGACGACGTGCGAGCCGAGGGGCGATTCCGGAGTCCGAAGGTCGGGGCGGTCGCGCGATTCCGCTTCGCTTCCTTCTTGAGCTGCCTCGGCCCTCCCGCTGGCGCCTCGGCTAACACAGCGGCCTGGAAAAAACACGAAACAAGTCAGTTCTGTATTTTCAGAGGCACCTTTAGATGGTAACAGAAACAAAAAAATAATAAATGTAAAAAAAAAAAAAAAACTATAAAGCTCTAATGAGGACTGTACCTTCGGCTGCCTTGCACTTCCAGGCTTCCTCTGACTCCTCGACCCTTTGTCAGGTCGCGGCCGGCCTGGGGGCGGAGGGAAGCGCGGCCGTCGCTCGGGTCGCGGCGCCTGAAGGGAGAAGAGGTCCTCCCCTGCTGGAAGGGCGCCTCGAGGGGACTCAGGAGGGGGAGGGGGGACACCTAGGAAGGACTCGGGAGGGGGAGGAGGAGCACCTGGGAAGGACTCAGCCGGGAGAGGAGGAGGAGGAGGACGAGCATCGGACAGGGTGGAAGGCACAGGGAAGGACGTCGAGGTGGCGAAGGAGGCGATGAAGGGGGAGAGAGGCTCGCGAGGGAAGGGCGTCGGAGGAGTCCCAGTGGGCCCGGCGCGGAGGGGGCTCGGCGTGGGGAGCGGGCCAGCGAGGGGAGGGAAGTCGTTGGTGAAGGGCGGGAACCTCAGCGCCAGGAGGTTGTCCGTGTTGTCCTCGGCCTGTGCGCGAGGAGAGGAAACGGAGCTCGGTCAGGAGGAAAGACAGTGCTTTCCCAAAAATGTGAATGCGCAAGGGTTATTGTGCCAAGGTGAAAGGGACTGGTGACATGATAAGAAGGTGACGGAAATACTTATTAAGTGACTGGTAAATAGGAAGTGAGTATTGTTACCTGTATTAATAAACAAATCGTAAGGATGATTTCATTCTTTTCTTTTCTGATAACATCATTCATAATAGTAATAGCAGTGACAATAATAGCAATATATGGGTTTGTATGGAAATATGTTCTGTGTGTATGTGTTCTATCTACATCTCTATTCATTCCTCTATCTACATCTATATACACGTATGTAAGTATATCATCGGTATGGAATGATTGTATGTAATATCTTTATCTTCTTGATTTTTTTTTTTTTATGAAAGGTACATCCACTCTCCATGTTTGTTTTTCATATATCTTCTTTAGTTCAAAGCCAAAACTTTCGAATTTCTTAATGGCGATGTGAAGACATAAGTTTTTTTTTTTTTTTTTTTTTTTAGTGATTTATAATGATATCGATCGTATTTTGGAGATGAAGAAGATGAACGCGGGAATGAATTAGAAATGACACGTGGAAAGAAAACAAGTAAAATCTAAAGGGAGCTTTCAAAAGGCAAGAAATTACGACAATGAACAGTCCCATGAATTGTTATCCTTGATTTATTACACACAAGCCATAGAAACTTAAGGTCCCATCTCCTTTAGAACAAGGCCTTGAGAAAGAGAGAGAGAGAGAGAGAGAGTGAGAGAAGAGAGAGAGAGAGATGGAGATGAGAGAGAGAGGAGAGAAGGGAAGAGAGATGAGA